CACCAGTACAGTCTTTGCCACCTCCCAGAACCTAGGTTTACAACACGAACTTCAAAATTTAGAAGAGAGAATAGCAGAAATGGCTAATGGACTGTGAAATATGAACACGGGATTCGGTGAGAGCAATACGGCCCAAAGTGTTTCAATCGTCGTGGAAGGCCAATATTATCGCTGACCCAAGATCACGGTAACCAGTTATATAATTATGGAACTGAAGGAAATGGCAGGGATGCGTTTGTTTCAGATTATAAGCATATGAATTTGTGACCGTAAGCATTGTCATTATGATGAATCAGGCCAGGATCAGGTCCACCTTCTAACTTATCCGAAATCCTTCACAGGTTTGGGATCTTTCGCAAAGAAACATTTGGGAGAAGCCAGTTGTAGACAGCTATCGAATGTCAAGGAAACGAGACTTTGTCTCGAGTGATTTCCATGTCCTCTTGGAAATTGGAACAAGCTTTTAAGGCAACAGCATTCTAACCCAAATAAAACTATCACTATTGCAGCCCTCTTCCAGATAATTTATATTAGCCTTCAGGGATACTAATTGAGCAGTTCTGTCCATCTGGTAGTGCTTTCACTCAATGCCATGGCTCATTCCTGACAAATAGGATGTTGTGGTTCTCAGATCTCGAACGTGAAACATTATAAGAAATACGAATCCATACTGGAAACATCACTACTATTAAATCTTCAAGAAACCGCGGTAAAACAGCAAAGCAGTGTTTTTGATATAAGTTATTTGCCCATTCGTTCACAGATGGACTGCATATGAAACCATTGATGTCGACGATAGTCTTCGACTGAGGTATACCCTACAAACTCACCATCCAAAGCTACATTGGAATTTCTGACTCTGAGCACGCACACAACGCAGTAGAAGAGCTCACTAAGATCCTGTGCAGGAAAGATTTAAAGCGCCGAAGCAATTGCAACGACATAAGGCACCGCAATACCATTAGGTAACCGTAATTATAAGGCAATTGAATTGGACAATCTACGAGAACTTGTTTAGTTCGACCTTACCAAACCAAAATGGGTTGGGACAAATAACCTCCCCCTCTTCGCATCATAAAAGCTCAAAATGCCAGTACGGTCTCCTCAGTTCTGCCCACCCCGGCTCAACCCAAAACATTCCTATTTTCAAAACAAATCGGAGCAGCCTTCCAGCGACTGCGTAATCAATGCTGACTCAACACCTAGAGAACTCCTGAAATATGAGGCTGCATGCTGAAAAGGTGCGAGGCGCTAGTAAGACAGCCCACAATCAATGTGAAATCAGCACATCTGACGGTAATCAGCGTTCGCGCACACTTTCTGTAATGCTCTACCGAATTCCGCGTACATCCGCGATCCTTCTCTTCGGTCCATTCAAGGCACGGAAGAAACCTCTCGGTCACATAAGGTCTTGTAATTATACCCCACATGTAATTGAATAGCCTGATATCCGTACCTATTTGCATGTTAGTCTGACACTGAATATTCGGAAGAGAAACAATGGTTTCGCTAATTAGGCAGAAAAGGTTACAGTACTAACAGATTGAAATATCACCTGATTCATGCTTGGGGTTAGAAGAAAAAGCCTGAATAGGCCAAATGATGTTTATTTGATGCAGTGATGGAATTCGAACCAACGACGTATCTTCGATTGTGATGCCAGCTACTTTGGGTCGTCTCTTCCTTATGGTAGCCGCACCCATCTGTACCCCCAATATCGAACTTTTTATCACCACTGAACGTAATTTTCTTCCAGTCATGATGGCATCAGGTAACCTTAGGCTGGTTTGAACTCGTGCTTCCTGTATGATTGCGTATTCCACGTGGTAACGGAGAGACTGGATGAACTTGCTGGATACATTTTCTCTTCGATTCTAGTTGATGCATCTACTTTGTATCGGACTTGCTTGCTATCTGGTTCCTTCTGATCGTTACAAACTTCCACTTAGGATTTTCATGCCGAAACTGTAACAACACCATGGGTTTCTGGAATTTCTAATTTTTCCGCTCAGTGAAATTTGGTTGCTGCTTGTCCCAAAATTCTTGTGGGCGTATGAATTTTTGTTCGTGATAGACTACGGAGGTGTGTGTACCATTCTTCGGATGACCAAATGAGTTATTAGGCTAAGTAAACTCATTTTCCGACTAATTCAGTGCTAACGGGAGATTCAACGGAATCCAAACCAGATTCCTCCCAGCGAAACCGGTAGAGGAGTGTCAGAGAACTTTCAGTGTTGACACATCGGGAACATATCTCAATGACGAATGCGAATAAACACCAAGGATGTTTCGGTGGAATCCATGAACGTCAACCACATCAGATGCAGGTTAGGAGCAGCTAACCACGCGATTCATGACGTGGCACATTTTAGCATGCAACAAATCACTGTAGGGGTTCTGTACATACGAAATTGAAACAAACCGAAATTTCAGTTCACACCCGCCTTGATTGTGTTCTGGAAATCTAGATATTCCGGCGGAGTAAACTGACAATGGGCAATTTTAACAATGCTTCGCACAATTTAACAACTATTGTCAAACAAATGAGTCGAGATGGCGGTGTCTAGATATAGAAAATTTGCCTGAAGATCGTTCGACCTATTTACTTTGCGGTTACGAGACCTGACTGACGCTCAAACCAGACGCCTGCAAGATAAAGATTTTCGAACGTAGGGGTTTAGGGAATATTCTCAGAGCACGTATTTCGAACAAACAGATCAACCATCGAGGATTTGGCAACGCTTAAGCCGAACGTCTAATCCAGCAAAGCCGACTAAGAGATAGTTTGACTAGGTTCTTTGCCCTCCACGTACGAACACTGTCATCGAGGCGGTTAGCTGAAAACCTAGACTGATAATGTTAAGGTCGGTGTTGGGCTTCTGGCTGTACAAACTGTTGAAGCTACTGAAAAGAAAACTGGATCGAAATCTGTGGGAGCCTTGCCACCAACTATCGTGATTAGACAGCCCCGATTCGAGACATCCAAAAAGACAGCTCATCCTCAGGCAGGAGACAACCGAAGTAGGACTTGCGTAAAGGAAACTACTCACAAGGTTGCTGAAAACTCTTCGACAAAAACTACGGTCGATTTCACCCTTCATCAGGTAGACGCGGTCCCCGACTTTATCTCAACCTTCTGTTTTACTTGGGCCCAGATTGCACTGATTTCGACAGGCACACTCAGTTGAGCAGTTCCTTCCATGAAAATATACTGCGATATCTTGAATATCGTACCAACTGAAAAATGAGGCGGCCTTTGCGCAGCCTATTCAGTTGGAGAATAACATAAACGAGAGATTCAGTTGAGTCAACCGTCAAAACCAAATTGATATGAAAATGAGCGTTTTTGTAGAACTTCCTCAGTTTACATGAAACCACGAAAGCAGCTCAGATTAAATGGACAGCAAATGGAAGCTGACATAAAGAGGAGTTCTATATGAGACGTTTTGTGGAAGCCCGGAGGCGATAGACTTGGAAAGGCGGTATAATAGGAATAGACTGAAGAGTTTCCATGATATCACACGTGGCCATAGCCAGCTTTTTGTCACAAAATTTTTAAATGGTGTATACCTCGTTGGGAATTTAAAGATATCGGGAACCTTAGGACTCCACTAAGCGCTTTACGTCATAATCTCAGTTTCTCCCGAAAATGAAATTTCTAAGGTATTATACTAATATAATGTGCACTAATCCTTCGTTGCATTGTTTATGACATCCACACCGAGACGTTGATGTTCTTGTCTTCTCTTTAAGTGTAGTTATGACCTTGAAACTGGTTTCCATCTTACTGTATGGAAGATTCCTATGAAAGTTACGACCTGGATATCGAAATGTGCCCTAAGAGTACAACCAGAGTGATCCCAACAGGTTGGGGCAACTGTAACTTCAAACCCTAGATTGAAATTGGTTATCCGGTAAATAACCACTCAGCATGAATAACGAGGAATTGAATTGGCTGGCTGTTAGATCCTTGTGGGTACAAACCATATCACACTCCCTCAATCTAAGAGAGACGCTATTTCGAGCGTCTAAGTTGTTTCTCGTCGAATTCTTCCTCACTTTCGGCCTAAAACGAAGCCATAATCAAGAAGAGGTACGAAGGCTGTTTACTGGAAAACGCCTAAACAGAAATGGTACTATTTTGAGAAAAACTTTTTGGATTCCCCCCTAAACCATTCATTTTTAGAAAGGATTGTATACGGATCTCAGAAACTAATCGGACTATCGAAATCCGCATCGTCAATACTTCATGAAAAATATTGACTAATGAGAAATTGCTTTTCCACCCTAAGGTCAAAATAACAATATGTGGAACCTCCTTGGTTTGGAGGAGAGCCATCCCATTACATGAAAAATATCCTCCCTCACACCTTCACTTTATTCCCACTTGACGTACTATCCAATTCCAATTATACGTCGTCTGACGACTATCTTCAGGTTGAATGATAAACACTTGAGTAATGGGGCCATCAGATAAACTGTTTGCGACTTCAACATGTGAGTACATGACATGAACTGTGTTTACATTGCAGGAATTTGAACCACAATCGTGTTCCTTTCAAGGTGGCTCCTCATAAAGAAAGGATACTGCTTACGCAACTAGAATACGAATGTCGCCGGAACTGGTTTCTCCTGTGAGAATACATTATTATACTATATTCGTAATGAAGTAACCTATTATAGTTTACAGGGTAATTGAGAAGACGGCTTTGACTCGACTTAAAAATCAGTCACACATGTAAAAAGCTCGTGCGCGGTAAAAAAAAGCGAAACGACTGTCTGTTAAATCCAATTATCGACTAATCCGGGCTTGCACTGACGCCCTATTGTTTCCATTGGCCAGCGAGTTCAACTAGTCAATCACGTGCGGAGTAGGGTGACCAAACAGTTTGGCATTCACCTGCGCACGGTGATGGTGTTTCCACCCAACATACAGCGAACACTTTAAGCCTTCCTGATCGTCTTACACACGAGCAAAGTGATGTAAACATCAATTGTAGGTTCAGAAAGTTTTGTGAACAATCTTAGAGTCCCAAGAACCTGGGACAGAAACAACTGAGTTCAACAGAATAAAATAGTTTGGAGTTTCACAGTAGGGAAGAAAGATAAGGTATAAGTACTGCATACTATTGGTGAACAGCAAAGCTTTCCTACTACCATATATTCATCATAAAGATGATGACTGATTCGTCAAAAAAGTCAATATATGATACAGGAAGCGTCGAAACCAATACTAAGGAGAGTATACGCGATTTCTGACCTGAAAGACATTTTGTAACACAGCTGTCCGGTTCAAGCGAATTATTGGAAACAAGCAGTGTCAAACGTGATGTATAAATCAGGTAGTGAGAAACAGGAGGAAAGCAAACACTCTGAGTACAGAAGTTACAGAACAGAAGGATCCAAAAGACTATCTGAAGGTTTTGTTCCCTGTCCAGGAATGGCTGCAGTGGGGAACAAGTCCTGGGGAGCATAAGAAACGGGTCTGCCAGATGATTCAATAAGCCTGCGGATGTGCCAGCCCAAGTCGCGTTTGCACTCATCCAGAGGTGGACATTCGACTAGTTGCCATGCGTTTGATGTGTCCTCAAAGGTATCCCGACAAATCGGACACTGAGAGCGATTCAGAGCAGGTGATGGCTGGGTTCTTGACGCAGAAGCACCTCGGCTTAGCTCGACTGAGCTAACTGATCGACCGTTTCCCGGTAGTTTATAGGAATGACCATGCCTTGAACAGGAAAGTGAGGATTGGAGGGAAATATATGAGATATTTTCTTACAAGGTCAGTGCATGAAAAAGACTGTGGCATTCAATGCTCGCGAGCTTTAAGCCCATTCGTACTCAGTGAGGAATTGCACTGGCATTGGGATAAAGGTAAGAAAACCCTGCCACGGAACAGCTGCGTCCCTTGGCTTTTCCTTCCGTTCATCTCTTCATTATAAGGACTTACTGTTGACACGCTTATTGTCCCAATTGAATTGCTGTTCACCCAGCAATCAACACATCATTATGAAAACAAAAGATCCTCCTCCGCTTCTTATATCCTGTTGTATGGCGAATTTAAAGCGTCATCCAAAACTGAAATGAAACGTAACTTCTCAAAGAAGTTTGGTGAATGACCGGTGCATTTGTTTCAACGTTTTGACACAACCTTAAGCAGGGGAGAGCAAGTTGTCAGTCTGACGGAGTTTTAATGCACAAGGAGAAACCAATGGCAACGTGTCTTTCAACTAGCGAACTAAACAACCACTGAATACCGAGTAACAGCTTTGTTGGTTATTGTGACCGGCTACGTCCAACGGCCAATGAGCTAACAGAGATTTACATCAACTTGGGTTGGAGTTGGGACTTCTTGTTCTTCCGTTTAGTCGATTTTTGCTACAAGTGGACCTAGTAAGTACCAGAGAATCCGGTTAGGGGGGTGGGAGGGATTTACATCTTAATTTCGAGCCATTCTTATTGGTGACTTCCCTTCACAGATAACCGCACACCGCCACGTGGCAAATCGGCTGGTCCATACCTACCGTCCACTAGCTCGCGATCCTAAATCTGCTGGTCTGTTCACAGTAAAATATTCGGCTCTGTCTATTACCCAGGTCAGCGGCCGCTCTCTAGTGAAACCCAGTTCTCATTTCAAAACTTCCACGCATCTAGTGTAAACCACCCAACCAGTTGTCGGGATATTGACAGAATTCTTCCATCTTATCACGTTTAGTCACAAATGTCACAGGGTATCAGTCTCATAGACATCCATATGCATCGAATCATTGCAAAAAATAAGGTTTTTGTCTAAATTCAACACTCTTGAGCTGACGGAGTCCAGCTGGTCAGGCTCTGAAATAGTTTTCATTGGATTCTTGTAAAACACTTCTGAATGACGGATGTGCATACCCCTCACCCGTGATAGAACTTTGCAAGGTTTGTTTCAGGTGCTAAACTATTTGCTGGTAAGTATATAACAGAGTGCTGACTCCCACCGAGAGTACTCCCGAGGAGAGATCCTTTCCAAAAAGAGAGCAAAATGGGCCTGACCTTAGTCTATTTACAACAAGCGAGGCTGATATCTAAGATAGTTTCAAAAATTAAGGTCCTGATCATAGAAATAAAAAGCGGTTTTTGTGTGTGCACTTAGTATAGTATAATGAGAACTGCGACTTAAGCTGCCCATGTGGAGCGGAAATGGTCGGCAAAAGTTATCACTATGGAAAATGATGATTTGGACTACAAAGACTGTCGAAGCGAGGCCGCTTCCAAAAATTCGAGTTCTAAGGTAGGACTGACGAAGATAAGGAAAACCTGGCGCATGACAGGACATTGTGGGACGTCTCTAAATGTAGTGGAATGTATATAACTAAAAAAAATCTAACATAATTATTTTGTTCCATGGACAATGCATTTATCGCACACAGTCCACTTTCGAGGTAGTGAACTGAAATGTATCATGCTAGGTGTGTGCCTCAGTCAAAGCAGCCTACGGAAGCCGTCTGAATCAGCACCAAAATGCTTTGAAAATCGTAGCTTTCTTCGAGTTAACAGGACATTAACAGGTACTATAGGGAAAAAGCTTGGAACAAGCTTGCCTGCCAACCTCCGGAGAACGCTTTGCAGTACAGAGAGGCTTCCGTGTCCCAGAATATCCCTCTAACTGATGGGTGTCAGAGGACCGATACATTACACGGAAAGCATTGTTGAATAAGCGTATTGCGAAAAAGTGTGTGCCGGAAGCACTCTGTTAAACGAATTATGGTTAGTCGAGAAACAGCCAACGCCAAAAATGACATGTGCTTGTCATTCGTTGAACAGGAGTCAAGTGCATTCAGCGAATTGGCTGACGTCAATGATAACTGAGCGCTCTCACATCACCACATTAGGTCCCTTGGAAATTCGGAATATCAGCTATTGATATATCGTGGAGAGGTTTGAATAAATCAAACAAACTATTTTTCGGAGTGATTCCCAGTTTTTTCGCCAAGTAAGCTAATCTGAATGATTTGTATCGATCTCTAACCTCAAAACAAGTGTGTGCCGGGGAATAAAAATCCATACCAACACATCCCGACAACTTACCTAAATTAAACTCTCGTGGTAGAGCAGGAGATATATATCGATAATGGGGTCGATACCCAACCAACAGCTGCCACCTCAGCGTGATGGCCGGTGAAATGTTGGTTAATGCGTATGCAGAAACTACAAATGACGTGCGGATTATTGCGGGTAGTGCCGATTATCGGGAAGTTGACAAACAAGCAGCGAAAAGGGGGCTATTTACAAGGGTCCAGTCGAGCAAGGAAGATTCAACTCGGGAGCTGAGCTATACCAAAGCCAACGTAACTGGCTGCAGCAGATTCAGAATCAGGTGAAGTTCGCAGACAGAAGCACTTAGACAACAAAAGTACCGTGAGCTCGATTAACGTACATGGATCTTGAAGTCGACTTTCAGAAACGTAGCAAATATCTACCCACAAACTGTCAAAAGTGCACGGCGGAGTAGCTTGTTGGATGGTGTGCTCAAGAGTCCGGACAACAATAAGCCGTAATAAAAACAGAAACGAAGTCTGAGGACCGGTAGGCGTGAGCGGTGGTATAGCTCCTTCTTTGGATATTACAGTAGAGTACTCATTGAATGGTAACTCCTGAAGGGCAATAGCTAACTTGGAGCTACGAGATAATACTGAAGGAATGTGGGATGTACCAGCAACAGTCTGCCTTCGCTTACCCGCCCTGTTGTATGCAGCAATTATGGTGATCCGGCTGATGGCACCAAACAACGGTCGATGTGACATGAAAATATTGGTAATGTATAGTTCACGGTTGTACGAGGGCTGAGATACTGCCAGGGTGCCCAACTTAGACAGGGTCTTTGGCTTAAAAGCCTGATCGCAAGGCATTGGTGGTTGGCGTGCGACCACAAAAACGGTACGACTTATAGGGAACATGTCACCACACATGAACTAACCCCAAACATAGTGTCAGGACATTGTGTTGCGCCGACCTCTATCCATCAGAGACTGCGAATGGCCCACGGGCAACCTCCGGTATAACTCAGTGAATCAAGGAGCTGCATAAACTATCAAAGCACGGTAGGATCTTGTCTTTAATAGCATACAACTTCCAAGAGATGTTTCACATGTGCTGTACACACTTTATAAATCTCCTAAATTATGTAAAGTGCTCCATAACCTCGAGCGCCTCCTCATGAATCATAAGTGGCTTCTTCAGTGACTGCACGTCCAGGAGCATAATCATACACTTTGTGGACACAAACCACACTTTGGTCAGTTCACCTAGAGCACCTATGAATTATTTCCCTTTTCAAAGACGAGAGCGACGTTGCGTATTTACTGCAGATGGACAAGACTTTGATTGACAGCTTTTTAAACACCTCTTAGACCACTTAGAGTTTTCCTCACTATTTCATCGATCACGAATGTGGATGAAAATGCAGCGAGTGGGCATCTTAGTCAGATACCACTTTTGTGTGAAAGATCTTAGAGAGCTCCCGTTTACACCCGCGCGCTTGCAAGTGTAGGACTACAGAGAACTTATCATACAGACAACTTTCTTGGATATTGGTGAGCAAGCGCATTAAGAGAACCGACCGATCAACAGAGTCAAGTGCGCCCTGGGAACCTAGGGGTGCCGAAATTGACAGTCATTTATACACATAGTGCTCTAAAATCTGACAGAGTGTGATATGGTCAAAGAAAGCACTACCAGGCTGAAATCCCACTTGCTGTTTTAGTGTCAAGGCTCACCATGAATACCTTATGCTTTGGAGAACTGGTGTGAATAAGTAATAATAATTAGTAGTAATAATCATGTTACAAAACAGTTCTCGGCGGCAAAAACCGACATCTTGCACGAAGGAAGACAGTAGTAATCTCGCCTTAAGTGTGAGACTTACTCTTCGAATTAAGTAACTATAGTTGTCAAAATATCGATACATGAGTTGTCGTTCTATTGGCCCTGACTCAACACAATATACGTGGCTGAGGTTATTGAACTGTCCTTATTCGATGAACCAAGCATGAGCACCGGCCCAAATGTACGGCTTAATAGCGAAGCAGAACACATGGCGCTTCTAGGTCTGTCTACGTACAACTATCGGTGAAAGCTAAAGCCATTGCGTACCGGCCAACAGACCAATCTCCACTATGCGCTCACAAACAGCGTCTGAAACCCTACGCATGGCATAGTCACGGTTAAGCGGTTCCGGTCGCTTGATAAGCCTGAAGACAGATCAGCATGCACATTCGAAGTGAAGGTCACACTGTGGTGTCATTTACGCCACACCCAAGATTCCCAAATTAGTTGATACACACTAGAAGGCTGATGTTTACCCTGAAAATAAAGCCCTTTACGATATGCACTAAATTGGTGCTTTTGAAGTTAGAAGATAAAAGGTAGATGGACAGGGCGAAAGCAACAGCTACCGGTGTGATGAACCATTATTGGTAAGTAATTTGTGATGGGTCATGTACACTATACTGCCGAAAGAATGGGAGGTACTACATGGAGAGGCAGTAGTCAAAGGGAAAATGATTTGCATGAGGGGTCGTTTCTTCTATTTAATTTTATAGGGGCAGTCACTGTGCCAGCATTCTATTATATGCGGCAAATACGGTTGCAATCGAACTTTGAACAATGTTCAACCCGTATGATCGGTATGAGATATGCTACAATTCTGTTAGTAAGGCACTCTCAACAAAATTGTGAACGCTCATACGAAGAGTGCTCTTTGGTTAAAAGAGATTGGAAGCCAAAGATCGTTGTACTAGTAGTTGGAAAGACAAAATCTGTCAAGTGACAATCAACTCCACTCACGTTACTGAGAAAGTAGGAAGGTGAAACCAGTGAAGAAATATCACGAGACCTAAGAACAGCTGAAATGCTTGAGGATCAGGCAGTTCGCTCTCTCGTTAGCCACGTAGAGTTTAAAAGTGTGGATACAGTAGTACCCATTGCATTGAATTCCTCGAATCTCATCAAAGCTGTCACTTCCAGGCACCTGCTTTTATATTTCTTTCTTTCAACTGATCAACAAACAATGTCTCGAAGAACGAGTACAAAGAAAACAGACAACAAAGCGTTATGCTAACCCCAACATCTCATGAAAAACTATCAGGAATCCAAATACGTCATCAGCATCGACAGTATAACATCAGTGTGCAACTTTGATGCTTGACTACCGATCCAAATACGCTTGCTTCTGTTCTCAAATTGAATATAAGAAATCAAGCTCAGAGGATTTATGTAAACTGGAGTGAAAAACTCACCATTGTTGAATACACGTGTGGCAAAAGGAATGTAGACAAGGTAGAATGACATCCGGCATACAATCCAGGCAGATACAACAAGGGTCCTGATCGGTTGACAATTCGTCGACAGTCCTTAGTTAAAAAGTAAGTTGGATGAGTCGCGTTCATTTCTCACTTTGAGGGACCCGCCCGACTTGCTTCGAAAAGTTGTTTAAGTCGGTGAATTTCGAGGTAAAGCGCGAGGAATTCCTTCGGAGACATCACACGTGTACACAATTCCCCGCCGCGTCTGGACTACGTAATGAACAAAGGATGGATGATAATACTAGAGCAGATAATATCAGACATACAAACCGGCAAAAGATATCCACACTCAGTCTCCAAAATGCGTGTTTTGGAGGTTCTTTAGGAAATACAAAAAGATAGGCTCCTTTGCTTGTCAAAGCATCACAAATCTCGTTAATTTCGGACACCATACGAGCAAAATCTTCCGGAGTTTGAACTGACAAACGACGCTCCAGCTGATCATTTCGAATCGCACGATCCTTCATGGTACGAATAGCATTGCGGAATACCATATTCATACAGAATCCAAGGGCTGTTAATGGTGGTTGGGAAGGGTTAAACAGAAGCGGATCACTACACCTACTCCGAGGGGAGTGCATCACCGGACCTTCATCAATCTGAAGGGAAAAAGAGGAGATACAACAGATATAATTGAATGCACGCAAGCCAATAAGCTTGGGTTATACGAAGGCACTTGCAGTGTCCTAAAAGCTTTCGTTGCTTCGGTTAAAATATATGTAAGCAACAGATGCAGTCTGTCTGTTAATTTAGAGTATTCTTATTTGTTCTTCTTCCCATACAAACTTCAGAGATAGCTGGACCAGTAGGTACCGTCATCATGAGGCAGCTTGACATGCATAGATGGCTATTTACCACTGAAGCCGGACTTCAAAAAGCTTATTCTCGGGAATCATCGCGGTAGGGCTACTGTGCCAAAAAGCCACCAAAGAGAAACAGACAGATGCCATTGCTTGCAGACAAATCAGCCTCATCAAGCAGAATAACACGCACCCACACGAAAAGGCTGACCATTTTAAGCGATGGATCAATTTCAATCTATTCAGTTCAATTCAACATAGACACTTTGGTTCCATCTGCTACAGTTTCGAACACCGGAAGGTGGGATAGTGTGGAAGATACAGCCAAGCCTTGGGGGCACTGGCGTGTTCAGTGAGTTCGGGACTAGAGTAGCTGCGCATTGACGGCGATAACTTTGATGCAACAGCACCACCGAGTGCGCGATCGGGCTACTTCTGTCAGTCTTAAACCATTGATAATTTGAGTCCCGGGGTCCCCATCCAGGGAGGCGGTAGGTGTTGACCCGACGCGGTTTACTGGTTAGTGTTTTCATTCTTCGTTGTCATGTCATACACTGTTCACCTCTCTGTGGCTTCCATTTAGCACAGGGCAGGGCGGAAAGAACTACGCAATTGAGACGGTCTTCTGGTGTGTGGTGTTCACTTCCTAACCAGCGTAACCTATGAAGTGTGATTAATTCATCCATTGTGGGAGAGTTCCTTTTTCCCAGGATCATCTGGCGTACCTCAGCCTTTCTAATGCGATATTACCACTAGAACTGACTAATGCTTCGGAGACACCGATGATCAAACATTGACATCTCCCGTATGTCCTCTGCGTGTGGGGGCCATGCCTCTGATCCATAAACAGGTATGGATAGCACCACCCCGGTTTAAACTCTTCTCTTGACAGACAAACTCACGCCACGTCGGCGCCATAGGTATCGGAGGTTGGCATAAACTGCCCTGGCCTTCCCGATTCGAGATATAATCTCATCTCCATCCAATTCACCGGAACTTATATAGCTGCCCAGGTAAATAAATTTATCTACCACGTCGATTGGTTCACCTGCGAGCATGAGGTGTGTGTTTGATCCCACCCAGTCTTGTAGCAGCACTTTACACTTTGCAGGTGTGGAGTGCATGCCAAACCGTGCGGCAGAGTTATTTAGGTTATTTGAAATCGTTTGCACTTTTGAAAGATCTGAACCAACGGGGGCAATATTGCCCGCATACTAAATGTCTGTCGCGGGAGAATTCCGACCTCCGAATCTACAGAAGTAGGTAGAAAAATTGCAAGCAGTACATCAATAACAAAGTTGAAGAGGAAAGGTGGGAGGGTGCATCCTCGTCTTACACCATTGGACGTGGTCTACTCAAGTAAGAGCTTGCTGTGCATTCGTACCCATCCACAGGAATTCGTAAGGGATATAGATTTTACAAAGATTCCTCTGGCCACCAGAAACCACCACAGTTTCTGACGACCAACAGATCAGCTCGATACTCTTGAGCTACTGAAAGTTGTCCCCAGATAGTGTGAAACAATGAATATCAAGATCGACAAAACATGAAGTACGAGTATTTTAAAAAGTCGCTCAGTTGATAAAACCCTGTCGGTGTCCAACTGCCATGCCACCCGAAGGAAGCACGAGGGATGTCAAGTTGCCCATGTCTACACAGGGGAAGTCGGGAGGCAGAGGTTGGTTCAAACCACGGACTTCCCGGTCAGTAAGTTCGCGCTCTAACAACTGAGCTACCTCGCCCCCTCGACCCGACGTCAAATTAGATCAAAGGCGGAGTATATGGTGCCAATGCGATCCAGGCTGTCTTATGGATCAGAAACATGGCCTCTACGAACAGAACATATTCGACCACTGGCATCTCCGGCACACTGGCTGAGCCTGATGGGAACATGAGATTGGCAAGACGGAAGCACACCCACTGGAGGAAACTTCCCACGGTGGACGAAGTGCTCAAGCCTGATACGGTGAATGTCACAGGACCGTGTAATTCGCAAAGTTAGTGTTGGTCAGAAGTGTGCTAAGCAGAAACGATTGAGAGGTGGATAGTGTGTGACCTGGCAACGAAGTAAGGAAAAGTGAAAACGGCAACATTCATTGCGAAATAACCGGACCTTACCGCGGTATGACGAATAGCGTACCTCTAAGACCCACTGTGCTATTTTGGGGGTTTCACTTTGATACCCACAGAGTTCCTCACATCAGGTTGGTCGGCGGATAGGGATACTAGAAGCAGGGGCTCTCTGGGTATCCAGGTTGGGGGTTGGAACAGGCTCCTTAAAAAACTGTAGTAGTATGCCGGCACCAACCCACTGCCTTATGATTAGTCTATCAAGGAAACCACTCGAGACCCAACCCCGAAAGCCGGTCTACCTAGTTGCCTTTAAGGTTCGCATACGGAAGCAAGCAGGACAACAAACTCGTACAATGGTTCCCTCTGCATTGATCTGTGTGTCCATTAGAAACAAGGATCCAGAAAACAAACGGTTATTGAACTGACTGCCCTCCCTATCTTCCCACTTCCGGCTAAAAAACTCTGGTGACGCGGACGGCAGCTGATGGCTATTCTGTTGGGTGCTTGTCGACAGGAAGCGTCTCTACTTGCTTAAATACCCGTTGATAGCTGCCTATACGCGGTTATCGATATCGAGGCAGTGAGGTCCATCATACTCTTTCTGTGCTCACTTACGCTCCGACGGACTGTGGCTCTGAATGGGGGGGACACTTGATGTTGAGGTCCAGGTGCTCTTTTACAATGGTTCTAATCATAAATCGCACTGGTTTCTGGTGACATGAGCATCCATAAAGGTAGGCTTTGTGTCACTGAGACCAAACTGGGTGGAAGTCTCGAGTTGGAAAAAGGACGCACGGATAACGAAGAGCCCCTGCCTGGAACTTACCATGGTGTAACAGTCTATGTGCCTCCACGACCCATTCAGCTATGGTGTGTGTGTGTGTGGGGGGGTTCCGCACGACATTCGCAGGGTCTCTCGTATCAGGTTTGTCAATGGTTAGAGGTTTGGCAAACACAGTCACCTGGTCCTCCACGTTGCGGGTTGCAATATGTATGGCGATTTGTTGTAAAAAGTGAAATGCACTTGCATTTCTCGCCAAACACCGCTGCCTTGCTGTTAGGCTACTTAGCCAAAGGCTTTGGTTGAGGACATAATCGTCCTCCTGACAATACTCTCACGCAACATCGGCCGTCGCGTGGTGCCATCGGTCGGGTCGCCTTACTCGCTGCATACAGCAGGACGGGTAAGAAAAAACAGGCTACTATGACGTCTCACTTCCTTCTCTTTCACATACTTCTTCCCCCTCTCCTTACCCCATTAATAACTCTCTCCTTGTAGGCCCAGCATATAGGACTGGTGACTCCGTCTTGCATTGGTTTTGCATGCAACAACTCGTCACATGGCGCCAACATCCTCAGGTATCTCGAAAGTAATCTTCAAGCCTCGATGCCCAGTCTATTCAGCCGCCTTCAGTGTCCGCATTCTGAAGCAAGTGAGACAACAAGCTAATCTTGATCTCACACCGGACTCGCTTGGCATTAATGTGTGCTGTGTCTCAGAAACAAGAATTCAAGATACAAGCACAGTGAGTGAACTAACCGCCCCATCACTCTCCACTCGATTCCGGCTACGCACCTCTGGTGATCCAGAGTCTTCTGCAGCGGAATATGCAGGGGTTGGTATCGCCCTAAGTCACAGGGCAGAAGTATCCATGCTTGCCTGGATACTTGTTGATAGTCGCTTCTGCGCGGTTTGCCTGGCAAAGTCTGTGAAGGAGTCTCACAAGTGGGAAGTTTTTTCAGCCTACACCCCAAATGACTGTAGCTCTGACGCTGTCAAAGACAGGTTTTACGACGCCCTGAATACCCTTCTGCGACAAGCTAAAAGCCCAAACAATGTGGTGGTTGCCAGAGATATGAATGCGCAAGTGAGCAGGCTTAGCGCATCTTAGACTCAATTAGTAGGTTGACATGGATTAGACTCGGTATCTACGGATAACGGGAAAAGATTGCTTCAGCTATGTGTTGATTGCAGGCTGCTTTTATGCAGTACTAACTTCCGAAATAGCCGAAATCGTCTGTCCACACGATGTCCTCCAACGGCATGCCAGCCACAAACTCAAATCGACCGCATTGCCATCAGTTACCGATAGTGCGAATCAATAGCTGACTGCCGGTAGTTTTGGAGCACATTTGTGGACTCGCTTCTCCCTGAGTTTTCAAGGGCCACGTGAGGTACAGTCAAATCGCTTGGCAACTGAAAAACTGGCAGATCCGGATGTTAGGCGAACTTACCAGAATCGTCTTCTAGACTCTTCGAAATGCTCCACCATCAGATGTGAACTCATACTGGGACGAGATTGCCACCTCTTTTCATAGTGCTGGGAATTTTGCCTGTGGCACGGCACCACCAGGCGCACTCAAGCACTGGATATCAGACCAAATGGGGGCACTGCTTAAATCTCGGAGGAATAGCCCAGCCTATTCGGAACATAACTTGATGCGACAAATTATCGGAAGTCAAATGAAGGTGAGCGTGCAAACCGACCGTGAAGTGTACTGGACACAGAAAGCCAAAGAAATGGGAGAGGCCCAGAAAACCGGTAATACCTGAAGATCCGTGCGACCGGTCCCCGGAAACCACCTGTGAGCGAAAACACCTAGGAAGGAAATGGAATGGACATCTCGAATAAAGTCCCAACCGATGGGCCAAATACTTCAAACATCAATTGTCATGGCCGCCAACTAGCACCCCTCTGGAGCCCACAGGTGACGTAGAACCCTGG